GAGCCAGGGCAGTTAAAGTAGTCTCAAACTGGATTATTTCTGCAGTGCAACACGCAAACCACTACACTGCTACACTGGACTGGCTCCCTCTCGCTCGTCCATACTTGCTGTCTGCTGATAGAGTTGTTTTAATAACCACTATTTCTGATCCATTTTAAAGAGTTCTCCAAACTCAGTCTGTAGTTTGTAAACTATTAATAAAAACTGGACGTAAGTAAACAAAGAGTCGTTCTTCTTAACTGCCATCAAGTTGACTTTGACCTATGGCAATCCTATGTATGAGAGACCTCCAAGTCACCCTTTCCTGAACCCTTTCCCTGCTCAGCTCTTTCAGGTTCATGGCCATGAATTATGTTTGAATCTATCCATCTGGTATGTGGTCTTCCTCTTTTCCTATTACCTTCAACTTTACCAATACTACCATCTTTTCTAGTGAGCCATGTCTTCCCATGATATGGCCAAGGCACAACAGTCTCAGTTTAGTCATCTTGGCTTCTAGGGAGAGTTCAGCCTTGATTTGCTCTAGATCTTTTAAGCAATCCACAGTATTCACAGAACTCTTCTCCAGCACCACATCTCAAATGAGTTGATTTTCTTCCTTTTAGCCCTTTTCACCAACATCATTATATTTTTCTTTCTCCTGTATGAGTTTTAAACATCTTTGCCTGATGATGAGGCCAGTGGAGTTTCCAAAAACTTGCAACATGTATTTTGTGCATTTTGGTTGGCCTCATAAAAGTATTGCTGTTTTATGGATGTTGGATGTTATTCTACTTTCCTATCGAATGAGTTTGGTTGCAGTCCTATTCATACTATTTGGTAAGTTCCTTTTTAATTCAGTAGGACTTATTTCCAGTAAAAAATATACAAGATTGGGTTGCATACTATGCAGTGCTTGTTGTAGAGGTTACTTTTGAGTAAATATGTCTAGGTTTGCCACCTTCAGGAGAACATATAAATCGACAGTTAATGTTATAGCTATCGTGGAACTCATTTATGTTTCGCTTGACATATACATTTTCTGGAGCTGGAAGCTATGAAACTGTTAGTGAATGAGGTCTGAGGGATCAGATAATAATAATAATAATAATAATAATAATAATAATAATAATAATAATAATAATAATAATGACTATTCTTATATCCCGCCTTTCTGCCATAGCTGCAGATTTCTTAGAGACACACACCTACAATCATAAAATGTCAAGTTAACTGATTTCAATTAGTTGCACAACAAAACAAAACAAAATCAACCATATGCAGAATAGTTTTGAGAGGTTTGTTCTGGAGAAACCACTTCTCAAACCTACAGTACACATCTAGGAAGAAGCTGAATAAACTGATTTCTGGGATAACAATCCCCTTTCCCTTTTAACATTTCAGCAAAGTGCTTGAGGCTTCAATTTATGTCTGTCTGAGAATCTAATCCCTGTCTAATGATATATAATTGTATAGGACCTATACAGTAAGATATAGCATAGTAAACCCTGTGCTTCTGTGATCTTCCTTCAGTTATTGGAAATTTTGTACCAGGAATTTCTAAAATATATATATCTTATATAACTGAACAAAGATTAAATGAGTGAATTTAAAGGACAGCTAATGGAAGTATTTCTTGTCTTTGAGTTCTGAATTCCTCAGATGATACTTGATATCCTTGAGAGCAGGGGAAGGCAACATGAACCCCTGCCACTTCACTGCTGAATTTTGGCAACAGCCGAGAAAAAATGTGTAATTTTCCTTTAAGATCCCATGTGCCTTGTTTTCGAGTGCAGCTGCACTCTGGAAAGCCTCTGCTTAAAACAAGATGTGAATTCTCTGCACCGTCTTGTTTTAAATTTAAAGAAATCATTGTTTTTCTGCAGCTGTAGTTTCAAATTTGGAGGCAGAAGTGGGGGAAAGGGGTAGATTGTAGACCTCCAACGGATTCAAGCATCCCAGAAACTATCTCAGCTGTAGAGACTAAACACAGTGCTCAAATTACAACCTGCTGAGGCCCAGTGGCATCACTGGGATTGGTGTCACCCAGTGCGGTAACTCATGGTGTCACCCCCCCACCCATTGATTTCCTCCCATTTCACACCATACAGAATCCTTAGTAATCCTTTTTTTTTTTTTTTTGCATTAATGTGA